ACTCAGCAGCTTCCGTTAGCCTAACGGCACAAAGGCATGATTTCTGATGACTCATTAGCCTTTTCCTTTTTTTCCTACAATAGACGTGTGACCCGATCACTATTTTTACCTGCTACAGCCCACAGAGATGTTTCAGACTAACCCTTTCCCATAGATCCCTTGTCTTACCCATACATGGCCTATGTCTGAACATAACTCAAAACTAAGAGGCTAGTCCAAAATATCCTATGCAAATAAAAGGGGTAGCAACTATATCCTATCAAGGAAATCATGTGATGCTTAAAAGAAACATTAAATGAATATCTAACAATTATAATACATCTCCACCAAACAATTCAGCAATTAAATTAATAATTATTATAACATTTATTATCTATATTTATTATAATGATTATTAATTGATAAAAGAATAACATAAAAAGTACTAGGCAAAAATGAAATAATAAGACACTTTAATACCACCGTATCAAAACATGGGAAATTGAAAAAACACACAATAATGACAAAGAAATGAACTTATTCGGCAAGCTGGAAGAATTGTGTGAAGACCAGAATCAAGAAGGCAAGAAACATATTTTTTTCAAACAGAGAATTCACAAAAATTTACCAAGGCAGAAATCAAACTTATTATTTCAAACTAAACTGTAATAATATTTGATAATAACATGAGAAAAAAGGTTACACAGAAACAAAGACAAGTAAATAATTGGGTTTAAAATATTGGGAAAATTTTAAAAATGCAAATAACAATACCAAGACAACTATTGCGATCCAATTCGTGACAATGAACAGTTCTATTAATAAGACAGAAGAGCAAACAGTCTCCCCAGGGAATCCATTTCTCTTCTGGACCTGATGCAGGGTGAAGCTAATAAAATCCACAAACGATGCACAGAATAACAAAGACATAAATGGAAAGAACTCAATGCTATTTCGTTATGACCCAGCTGATTACTCTTTCCCTCCCCTCCGCCCCCCAAAGATGAAAACATGCATCTCCCTCCTCTCACGGGAGAGCTGAGGGGCTGACTTCATATCCTGTCATACACGACTGAAGTCAGTGAGTTATGCCGAGCTGATCTCCATTTTTCTCCCTCTCTCTCTTTATTTTTATTTTTTTAACAAGACACGGCCCACTGAAGAGAGGAGGGAGGAAACATATATTTAGAAATGAAACTGATGTGAAAATAAAAGATATGAATCAAAATGAAAGAAAAGATAAGAGAGTAAAAAAGAATTAGGGGCAGCTAGGGGGCACAGTAGACGGAGTGCCTGGCCTGAAGTCAGGAAGACTCATCTTCTTGAGTTCAAATAGCTGTGTGACCCTGGGCAAGTCACTTTACCCTGTCTGCCTCAGTTTTCTCGTCTGTAAAATGAGCTGGAGAAGGAAATGGCAAACCACTCCAGTATCTTTGCCAAGAAAATCCCAAATGGGGTCATGAAGAGTCAGACACGACTGGAAAACAACTGAACAACAGCAACAAAATAGAGTTAAGGCCAGAAATCAATGAGATAGAAAATTTAGAAAAATAGAATTTATAAAGCTGAGTTGTTTCTAAAATGCCTATAAAAACTAACCTATGTTCGGAAAATTCAATCCAAAAAGGAGAGAAAAAAGGAAAATCACCAAAATTATCATCTTTAAAGCCCAAGATCTTCATTGTGCTCCCCGGGTCACAGGGTTAACTGGAAAGAGAATAGGAAAGTAGTCATGTGTATAAAAGTCGAACGTGGCTCCTCTCAAACTGGACAGCAAGGTCCTGAAGGAGAAAGCGAAGAGTCTTCTCTGCTCCCGGGCTTTAGGGGAGTCGTTTCACTTTCCTCATCTGTCTAAACTGAGGGTTTGCCCAAATACAGTCAAAGGTCCCCCCAAGCTCTAACATTCTATGAATTTGTTGCTGCCTTCCTGAATGTTCTCAATCTTGAGAAACAACAGTTACCAAATCAACGTCGGCATCTTGAGCACCGAGCTGAAAGAATAAGAATCACTTTGTTTCAAATTGTAAATTTCTTCCCGGCCTTAAGGATGAAATCTCGTCCCTTTGGGAAGATGATTATTAATGACAAGATCAGATTTCCGTCATTCATCACTGAATGAACAAACTCCCCACTACCTCGGTGATTCCACTGTCCCGACCGTGACCGCCGGAGCTATCGATGGCTTGATCCCAACTCGTGCAAACTGAATCCTGTGAAATGGTCACATGTATTCAAATTCCGCGTTATGATTATGTCAAACATGGTCATTGGTTCCAGCCCAAAGAAATCATGGGGTGCAAATGTGAAGAAAGTGACCACTTCAGGGGATTCAGGACCTGGCCTGGCCAGCAAGTGACTTTGAGAACTACTCAAGTCAGAGGTCCTGAGTTTGCGCCCCAGCTCCAGAACTGACAAGCTGTGTGACCGTAGGCAAGTCATTGGATCGGAGCACTTCGCCAATACCAAGGTCCAGCCTTTTAACCACAATATTCTTCCAGCGATGCAAGTCAGAAACTATCACGGTCTCCAAAGACCACTCGATGGGCAATGGAAGAGACCCTTGGTAAGTGGGCACACGACCAACCAGGAAGCATGTCACCAAAGCGTAATAAAGAGCAGCATGAAGGAGGTGAAGTAGACCAGGATGAGGACCCCGAGGTGGATGGAATTCTGGGGCCCACTGCAGAAGGCCCCACAATGTGAATGAACCCCCCAGCAGGACAGGAATCACACAGGATGAAAAACGCATGGAGGGGGCAGGTCCTACCTACCCCAGGTAGAATACCCACATCGTTGTGCTCATAGAACCAGTAGGGGGACTGAGGGCTGTGCCAGAGACACACTCACTTCCCCCACCTCAAGGGTTCATGGTCTAGTGAGGGAGACAAAGCAAACACAAGAAGGGTTCTCTTAGAAGGCAGAACAGCCCGAGGGCTCTAAGAGAGTCAGGACAATGCTGGGGGTTCAAAGGAGGGAGTGCCACGAGGGAGTAAGAGAGGGGGACTGGAAAAAGAGATGATGTTCCTTCTCTCCCCTTTCTACCCCACAACTAGGGGTTCTGCCATCCCCATCACTGCTGCGCAGAGAAACCCCAGCTCTCTGTCTGGCCTCACATCCCCAGTGGCTGCCTGCACAGTTCACGAGGCATCTCAAAGCCTCCGTGTCCAGAACAGAGCAAGTCACCCCACCACTGCTGAGCCTCCCAGGTGCACCACCTCACCTCTGCACCTTCCTCACCCAAAAGAGATAAGCAGGTGCCACATCCTACCACGTCAACCCCACCAATGCCAAGCAACCCACAGGCTCCACTGAGAATGTTAGCTTCCCAACACACTGGGTGCACACCCCACGAAAGACTTATGGGAGGAGAAGCACAAGGTGAAACGAAGAGGGCGTGAGTGATGCTCGCTGCTGGGATGAGATGTGGGAATCTCTGCTCTGCCTCCAAAGACGGTGCCTGCCGGATTTGGGGATGCCCACGGACTGGAAGCAAAGTGCAGAATGGCCAAAGGAAATCCAGAAGGAGAGGACCCCGAGGGCAGCCAGGTCAGTGAGCATTTCCTAGGCGCCAGGCTTCGTGCTAAGCGCCGGACAGTTAGGGGAGTTCAAGCGTTGGGGCGAAAAGAGATGAACAGCATGGAGGCCTTAGCCAAGTAAAGAAACAAGGGTGGGGGGACCTGAGGTTGAGGGGAGAAGACAATTTTAAAAGTGAAATAGGGATGAAGGGATTAGCTTGGCCATTTTATAAAGACCTTTGCTAGAAAAAGTCTAAACCATTTATTCTAAATCTAGCAACTGGAATAAATCAGACACTGGGGTCCTTATATTTTAGCACAAGAAGGACCAGAATTTAAGAAGATCTCAAAGGACCAAGCTGTGGCAGTTGACAGAAGGCATTTTTTTTTATCCATAAGGAAAAGTAAGTGTACAGAAGGATGAAAGTCAGATAAAAACTTACTTCAGCTTATCTTTGTATCAATTGATACATACACCTTGTCCTTCTGGGATTTATTTATACAAAGAGCCAAAAAAGCCAAAGTGAACAATTGTCACTACCTGACTTTGTCACGTTTCAGAAAGTGTGTGTGCGATTGTGTGTCTGTGAGAGACAGAGAGAGAAGGAAAGACAAAAGAGGGGAGGGGAGAGGAGGAGAGAGACAGAGAGAGGAAGGAAGGATTTGCTGAAAACTGGACCCTGTCCTCGGGGAGAATTCATGGAATTCACCTGGGAAACAAAGAGAAGAGTCCAGGTTTCGACCCAAGATTCCAAAACCTAAGCAGCGCTGTCCAGTAAGCAACAGGCCGGTCCGGGGCTCCCAGCGGAACCATCCAGGGCTCAGTCTCCAGGAGACCCCACTTGGTGGTGACTGGACGTGGCCGCACCCGGACCGACCCTACGGTGGAGGCGGACACAAGGCCAGTGGCCACACGGACTGGTCTCTGGACCACCCCCCAGGGCCAGGCGGGCAGCAGAAGGGCAGGTGGGCCTGGGCAGGGGCGCGTCCAGGTCCTGGGTCACGCCCTCACCGGCTGGAATCACCCTGGGAAGGGTCACTGCCCTGTCCACCCACCAAAGGGACACCAGGAGCGGCTACGGGAGGGCTGGGGGGTAAACTGAGGCCCAGAGCGGTGCAGGGACCGGCGGAGGTCACAGGGGCAGGAAGGGACAGGACGTGAAGCGGGTCCTCGGACTCCGAAGCTTGGGGATGGCAAGAGAAGCGTCAAGCCTGCAAGAGGCAAACACCCGGCGGCGGATTAAAGAAACCCCCCCCCACACACACACAAACACCCCGAAAGCGATGGGCAGCTTAGGGAAACTGAGGCACAGGGAGCTCGGAAGGTCCACCTGCAGCAGAGTGGGGAAACTGAGGCAGGGGCGTTTCCATTAGGACCACGGCACCGCGGGGACCGGCCAGGAGCCCTGAACCCACTCGCCCCGCCCCGCCCCCCGCCCCAGACTCAGTGTGCCCGTCTGCGCAATGGGCACGGAGCCGCCGCCCCGTCCCCGCCCCCCGCCCTACCTCATCGGGCCAGCGCCGGGCCGTCTCCCCGAGGGCCGGCGGACGCTCGGCCGGGGCCGGGGGCGGGCAGGCGGACTGGACGCGGCCTGTGCCTCCGGCGCAGGAGGCCCCGGGACCCCAGCTCGGTCTCAGGCAGAGCCGGCTTCTCCGCGAGCCGGGAGGGGGGGACCGACGTCAGTGCGCCGTGACGTCACCCGTCCGCGGTGACGTCAGCGCGACGCCAGGCTCCCTGGGGGGGTGATGCCGCCGTGGGGCGGAGCGAACCTGGACGGCCGCCAAGCGAGTGGCTGCTTCTACAATCGGTCAATCTCCGAAGTGACCAATGAGAGAAGCGAGAGCAAGTGTGTGGGTGGGATGAGCAGGGCTGCCCGGATCGCCTGGGAGCCGACAGGGGGCGGTGTGGAGCTGGCTGGGCAGATGCGTAGGGGGTGGGTGGAAGCCCCGGGGCCCCGGGATTCTCCTTGACCTGGGTTCAATCCTCAGCAGCTCATCTTGGCACAAGCCTCTCGACCTCTGAGCCTCAGTGTCCCCATTTGTAAAGTGAGCATGGGGGGACCAGCTGTCAGCCCCAACGCTCACCCTTCAGAAAGACTCGAGTTCAAATCCTGCTGGGACTGTGGGCAAGGCGCCTACACGGCTCTCCAACAGTTTCTTTACGTGTTAACGCTGGGGGAAACAGCTGGGGAGATGAGATCATCGAGGGGCTAGGAGATGCGCGGGATGGAAGAAGACTGGGTCCGTTTTCTGAACAAAGTCAGGCAAAGAGACTTGGGATAACTGCGCGAGGCACCGGGAGGGGAGCAGACTGGCCTGGCTTTTGTGGAGGATGGCACGGGAATCGTTCAGGGAGGAAGAGAAGGACCTTCCTGCCGTGGCGAGGTCAGCTAAGAGCACTTTGTGATGTACCCACTGGGCAAGGGGAGGAGGGGGGGAGGCACGTGCTGAGGCTGATCGGCGCTGAGATTGGGCACGAGGGGCCAGGGATCCCGGAGCAGACGATGATAACTGCGGGCCTGAGGCTCCAGTGCCGACTGGAGGCCCCTCTGAGGGTGGAGAAAACTGGGTGGGCACAGGGAGAGGCGGAATGAAGGGGGGAGGCACGTGCTGAGGCTGACCGGTGCTGAGATTGGGCACGAGGGGCCAGGGATCCCGGAGCAGAGGATGATAACTGCCGGCCTGAGGCTCCAGTGCAGACTGGAAGCCCCTCTGAGGGTGGAGAAAACTGGGTGGGCACAGGGAGAGGAGGTAATGCTCAAAAAGGAGATAGCAAAGTTCGGCAAGCGGAAGCCCTGGGGGTCGTGGTGAGAACTAGCCTGTGACTGAGGTGGAATGAATGAGCTTGAGGACCTGGGAGTTTGAGGAGGCATCTTTGTCAGTGCAGGGACAAGAGTCAGAGAGAGGAAGGTAGCGAGCCAGATGCTGGACTCCTCAAGAAAGGAGGAAGATGACTGGGCGTTAGTATGCTACAGCCTCTGTAAATCAGATGGGTAGAAAATGTTGATTGAGTAGACTTCAAAGGAGGAAAGACTGCCCGGTGATGGTAAATGGAGAACCTGGAAGTAACAGTAAATCCCAAATGGGGTCACGATGAGTTGCACATGACTGAACAGCAACAACAGATGGGATAGCCATGGCACCCACCTCCGAGAGCTGCTGTGAGGATCAAATGCGTAAATCGCTTTGCAAACCTTCGAGCATAATAGTATTAGCATTGTGCATATGTGCTATATTTCCTTTGAGATGTCCATGTGGTCTTCTCCTTAGAAAGTAAGATCCTGGAGGCCAAGCCCGTTTGACACTTGCCTTTCAATTCCCAGCAGAGTCCTGACACCTCGAATGTTTCCAGGGTCTATACTTCATGATGCTAGTTCATTGTCTGTGTAACCCCACAGCCTATCATTAGAGGAAATCCTTTCCCTACCTAGAAGGTTACATTCTATGGGGGGTACAACATGGGTATAAATAAGTATATACAAAGTAACTCTGAAGTAATTGATTAAGAACTGCCTGTGAGCACTACACTAAGTAAACACCACGAATTCAAAGATGAAAAAAAAAAGTCACTGGCTTTAAGGAGCTCCCATTCACTTGGAATGGCTGGTAAACAGGCCCTCTCTGCCAGGCTGGGAATTTTCTAGGCAAGCATTTGTTGAATATGATGTAATTGTATCCCGAGCCATCACCACTTGGCCTGACTGTCATGCTACCACTGGACTTTCGAAGACCCTGGAAGAGAAGGTGAGGCTGGCTGCTTTGTGCGTCTCTGCCTCGCTTCAATCCCATTCATGCACGAGTCAAGACTTCGCACGGTGATGTTGGTTCTCTTCAAAAACGAAGGACGAAGAACAGCAACAGCAATTGAGTGTATTGAGCCAGATGAGGGGGACCGAGTGCTGATGGGAGCTGCAAAGATCACGATTGGGGACGACTGTTTCTTTTGCACCTTAAGGTTTACAAAGCAGTTTCTTATCCCAACCCGTAAAATAGTGCAAATACTTAGAGGAGGATACTGAGGCTCTGAGAGATTCAGTGACTTGCCCATGGTCCCACAGTCTCCTGAGCCCAGACCCAGGCTCCTTCCACATGTGTGCAGAGCTTGTCCAGGATGCAGGACAGGTCCCCTGAACTTAAGGAGCTTCTGATTCAGGTGCAGGGGAAAGATGCACATGCAATAAGTAGAATAAAGAGGCAACAGCCAAGATGGGCTCAACTGAGCTGAATTCTGGCATCCTCCTATCTTCCCTTTGCTCACTATCTAACTGTACTTCTTAGAAGCTTTAAGTGGGAAGGGAAAATAGGCTTCTAGCATTTGGTCCCAGCCATCACAACTAGCCTATCAGGCACATTAGTGAGGATTGTCTGCGTGAATTGAGGAAAGGAAAGTTTTGTGATGCCAGTTATTTAGGGTAAATGAAAATGAAAGAAAGCACGGAGCCCACGGAAGTCAGGAAAAAGCAAGTATGCTTGTGGACAAATCCTCAAGGAGGCCCTGGTTCTGAGACCAGTCTGGAGGAGGGAAGTTTAAGACCACTCCCAAGTGAGCCGTGGGAAGCTGGATCACCCTTCTTAATGAATGGGAAATAAAAGTTAGAGAAAAAAGAACAATAATCAACTAGTGTGGCCAGAACCCCTCACAGGGGGCAGTGCATACATCATGGAAGGAGCCCTGGGCTTGGAGCTAGGAGAAACCTGGACTGAAATCCCTCCTTGACACTTGCTGGTTGTGTGACTCATCATAGTCAAACCCCTTCCTCTCTCGAAGGCTCAGTTTCTTTATACGTAAAATAAAGATGATGATATCTAGAACAGTAATTGCTGACATTTATAGAGTATCTAAAGGGTCATAGTACTTTCCCATTTTTTGTGTGTGCAACATTTCTACAAGCATGGTGCTATTACTGGCCCCACTTTACACATGAAGAAACTGAGGGTAAAAGAAGTGACTTACCCAGGGTCAAACAACTAATGAATGTCTGAGGCAGAATTTGAGCCCCAGATTTCCTAACTCCAAGCCCAGCATGCCATCTACAATGCCCTGCTACCTCTCTTACAATTGAATCCACATACAAATATCAGTTATTATCATTACCTTGTATCTTCTAATGCCTTCCCCTTTGAGATTACCTTCCATCTTCTCTCTCTCTCTGTCTCTGTCTCTCTCTCTCTATATATATATATAAAACACATTCATACATGCATACATACATATGTGTATGCCTTGTACAGAGAAGTTATTTGTGTGTTGTTTTCCTCATCATGTGAGTTCCTTATAGACATGGAGTGTTTTTTGCCTTTCTTTGTGCCCCTATGCTTAGCACAGTGCCTGGCACATAGTAGGTGCTTAATAAATGTTAATTGACTTGTAATCATGTATATTTTATACTACATAAATGCTTGTTGATTGACTCACAAATATCACACTATTGTATTTTATTCTCACAATAACTCAGTAAGGTAGATAGGGCATATTGATTATTCCCATTTTAAAGGTGAGAAAGTCGTGTTTCAGATCTTGAGTGGCTCGGCCAATGTTGCCCAGGTCTTTGAATCAAGGAGATGAAGGGGGAAGTAGACCTTGGGTCATTGAAAGCCCAGAACTAAGGACAGCCACTCATGTGGCCAAGCCAAGCTAGACCAATCTCCATCCTGTTCTTACCAGTGTGGGATATTCGGTTGCACTTTGGGGAAGCTATTTAGCTCATTGCAGTCTTACATGTAATACAAGACGAGAACTCCAGTGAGGATCCCAATTGCTGCCCCAGTGAATGAGTCAGGATAACCAGTAAGGAATCAACTGTCTCCCATTGTGACTCACTGCACATGAGACTGAGCTGGTGACCCAGGCCACCGAACCATTGCATTGGATTTAAATGTGGAGCCAAGATTAACCATGCTGAATCCAACCTCTTATCATGTTATGCCACAGTCTTGTACCAGGCTGCCTAGGAGCCATGCAGGGGTCATTGCTTTACTCTTCCCAGCTGTGTTTATAGAGCATGCACTTATTGCTTATGTTGGCAAGAGGCCTCTTCCCCCTTCCTCCCAGGATCCCTATGGGGCTGGGTGTAAACATAAAGGGATGAGATGCCACTGTTGTAAATTGCTTTCAAAGAAAGTGACACCCAGGTATCTATTGGATGTCTGAGGTTTTTCCAATAACGAGAGCTCAAGAAAATCAATCTTGAAACGGAAGAAAAGTAGAATAGTTTGTACAATACATCAAGGTGAAAATCCCGAACTGCTGGTAAGACTGTGCTTTTTCACCATTTTCCAGCCAAAGGATTTTTGTAAGAGAATACTTGTGGCACCTGTGTTACCTGTCATGGGACGTTGCAATTCCACCAAGATAGGATGCCCACGAAGAAGTTATCAAGGGAGAATAAATTTCAACAGAGAAGACTCATGAGGTTAAGTGCTTTTATTATTTCCCCCATTCAACTCTGAGCTACATACCTTTCTTTGTATCCCTAGCACTTAGCACAGTGCCTGGCATGTAGTTGTTATTGTTCAGTCATTTCAGTTGTATTTGACCCTTCATGAACCAATTTAGGGTTTTCTTGGCAGAGATACTGGA